AAGATGATTAACATACTTTTAGAGGATCATAGAAAATATTCTCTCTTTTATCAGATATAGAATCGACCTCATTGGTGATTGAACTAACAGGCTTTTCAATTTTTGCTTTTTTTGTAGCACACAAATCCTTTTACGAAGATTTCTCTTAGAGGCCTTGGATAAGATAACGGAAGTATTTTGCAACAACATAGTGATGATAGAAGTAAGCAATTTTATAAAAATAAAAAATTTTATATTCTCTTGGAAACAAGCAAATTCGGAACAGAACTTTGTACTGAGACCCTTTTATTATAAATTTACGGCTTATTTTTATTAGTTCAGTATATACTGTAATAATCTGACACAAAGCAGTATACAATATAAATGACTCGGCATTGCGATAATTTAACACGAGTCAATTACATACAGTAGCATGATAATTACTACATACAAATAATTAAATTGTTTACTAAATTCAGTACCACAATTAGTGGACGTATTTACTAATTTCCCCTCACAGTTGTAATTGGCTGGGATTATTCGTGCAAATTTACGTATCACCTTCTAAATAAAATGTGACACCTCAATTAGGGTTTGGGGTTAGAGTTAGTAGGTGGCATTATACTAAAATTTTGCAAGAAATTTTTTTTGTTAATGCATAAAAGGTGATTTCTTAAGGAAGTTTTGCGATAAGTGTGACTTTTCAAAAAAAAGCAATTGTTGTTTTGATCATCACGTTACACCTGATCTTGCATCCTGATTGGCCAATATTACAGCTATGGGGAGAGATTAGTAAATGCTTAGTGGACACGGCAAATCAATCAACAATCATATGTTTTCTATATTTGTGATTAATTTCATAGTCGGACATTCGTATGATTAGCTGGCATAAATCAATTGCCCAGATAACTTATTTATACAGTTTAAAGTACTTTTCGAGAATGTAACATTTCACTAACAAAAAATCTTCATAAAAGCTATTTCTTGCTTCGAAAGAACGTCTTTATTCATTGTGCAAAATAATCAAAAAATAATCAAAAATCTCAGGGTACTTTACTTAAAAGCGAAAATGTTGTCTACTAACGCTATTAAATCTTGTGCTATTACTATTTGTCAAGGAAAATCGACTATTTGGAAAAAAGTAACTGAAAATATTTTTTCCAAAGGTCAAGCTAATAATACGTTGCCAAGCTATATTCGTGTGGATGATGTGATTTGTATGAACTGTTATAACGGGATTGTAATTAACAGTTCAATTGAATTTTAATAGCATGCTCAAGAGCAACACAGGTTTGAGGAGATTAGTAAAGCTAATAAAGCCGATAATACTAATGATTTTCTTTCTTTTTCTCAAGCTGTAAAAGTCTTAACAGATATTTTGTACACCCACGAAAATCGAGAAAAAAAACTAATGATATATTCTTTTAATGAATTTCGGGAGATTATGGAAGGAGAGGATATAAGATTAAAATCTTTCTTTGATGAATTGTATTTTTCATCTAGCCCATCTACAAAAAATAAGAATTCAAAGATAAGGGTGAAAAAGCAGCTTTTATTTATATGTTTCTTTCTTTGTAGAATTCAGAACAAGTTTGTAAATGATGCAAAGAGAGATTTAACTATGTATTTAGATTCTATAGGCGTTTCTGACACTACTTTAGATATACTTTCTGATTTAGATATAACCGTTACATCTCGTTCAATCACACGATATAAGACCGATACATCTAAAGAACATTATTGGCTTGTTGATGCTATACTTACTCAACATATAGAAAAGGCAATGGTATTAAATATTGATGACTATCATAATATTCATACAGAACGGGTGCCAAATACCACCATGACCTTCGATGCTGCACATCTTGCAACAATTTTGATGAACCCAATTACTACACAAAGAGCTATCCCACAACTAAATATATACAATCCCAAATTGGTTGATGCTGAATCTATTAAAATAAATTTAGAAAATAGATTTATAGAGTTATACGGTCTTTCACATAATCAACGCTGGGGATTTCGTGCAATTGATGACAATACAAGATTAAAAGAACTAACTATGCATAGTTATGATATCCGGTTACAAGAGAGACATCGTACTCATTCTATGAAAGATATTGTTCTTATTGATCTCTAGAAAAATACGCTTCATTCTTTGGATGAATACGTTCAAGCTATTAATGCTGTTATAAACATTCCATCTATATAGCAATATATCGAAAAAGGGAATATGATCTCTATCGTAGCGGATTGGCCCAGACAAATTTATATCAGAACAGCAATTTCACGTTATTTGCTTAATCATAATTTACCGAATATTACTAATTCTATTTTATTTTTTCTTCCTATTATAAGTCCTCTTCACATTTCGTTGAATAGTCGAGAATTAATATTTCTTAAATATCAGCCTTTCTTCTCGTCCATGTATAGGTATATTTTTGGTGAATGAAAAATTCTTGCAGAAAAACCTAAGCTGTGGCGCATTAATCTAATCTTGAAGATCTCTCACAGTGCGTGGTAGGAAATTTCAAAAATCATTGAAGAAAAATTTGGATTCTGTAAAGACACCAAATATCTCACGCTTAAGGATCTTCTTGATAATATGATTCCTCTTGTTTTGGATGTTTATGCTGTATTTTTTAGATCTAGAGATTTTAACACTTATTTTGAATCTTGCTTTCATGTTTGGACAATATTTCTTAGGTTCAATTGCAAAAACTACACAAAAGCCACACTAATGTTTCTCTCTGATATCTTCTATTGGGAATTGATTAATCATCCGATCCTAGAGTTCATTAAAGCCAAACTTCCCAAATTCTCTGATTCAACTGTTGAAATATTTCATAGTTTCTTGCACAGGAGTACATAAGAACATGATGATGCAGAGCAGATTATTAAATATGGTC